AGGCCTTGAAAATCCTTCTAATATATTGAATCAAAAGCAGGTCTCATAAAATATATTTTCAGTTCTGCATAAAAATGGCTAGCTATAAGCACTCAGAGCAAAGAATCATCCAACAATTGCATTAAAATACACCCTGATTAAAATCTTTGTGTTCATTTTCCACAGCTGAGTAGGAACAGCATATCGCAAAACTTACACAGAGGTGTTTCTAGTTTCTAAAGCAGACACAGGTAACTATCTGGCAATTTTAGTGTAGAAAAAGTAATGAAATTAATTACTATAGCCTACTATAAATATAATTATGTAATTATATTTACATATAATTATATGATAATTATATACCCTACTATAAATGTACTTTGTCAAAGACACTCATGAGTATTTCACTTTCACCTATACTTTTAAGTAGGATTTAGCCCTATGCCCATCATAGAAATTTCCTCTTTCAGATAACTTCTAATCTCCTATTTTACCTGTTCCAAAAATGTGTTGGGAGATGTGAATAATTTATCTTTAGAAACACAGTGTAAATATTTCATGTATTTATTAAATAATGCAACCCAATACAATTATGTAAAATTTTTAGTCTGTATAGAAAAGCAAGAAGAGCAAGAATTTCAGAGACTGCAGGGCAAGCGGCACATTTATACTTTGAGAACAGGTGAAGTTTGGAACTCCCACTGTAGACCCGCTAGAAACAGTTTCAGATCAGTTTGGAGAAGAACGATGACTTCACTGGCTGTCTGGATTTCAGTCTCTAGCTTTCTTCTATTCTCTCTCTAGAGAAAGAACTTATCATCTAATTCACAGCTTTGAGCTTTGAACAGGAGATACAAGGAAGAACACATCTAGGATAGTCTACATCTTACATAGAACCAAGAAGTCAGTGGAGGTACCTCCCAGTTCTCTTGCCCTCAATTCCTACACCTTCTTCTTAGATTTTTTTTTCCTTATTTCTTTTTAATGTCTGTATGTATTTACTGACACCCTGTCTTATTCTAAAGAGGATCTGACAGCTCTTAGACTAATCCTTCTCTGCTTTTCTCCAATCCATGACTACCGTCGATTAAATGTGACTTTTAATAAACACAGTAAATGTCAGCAAAACAAAAGGTCTTCCTTTCTCGTCTCCTGATCATCTGAAAAATCAAAGACCCCCAAATGATATTTTTTGCAGATACGTTAACTTCTTAGTTCTTCATAGGTAGACAGCATATCCTTTTAGTTATTTTCATATTGTTATTCTAGCATCTTCTATACCAGGGGTTTTCAACGGGGGACGACTCTGTTCTCCAGGTGATACATGGCAAAGACTGGAGACATTTTGATTGAGGAAGAGATGATATCGAGTGGGCAGATGTCAGAATTGCTGCTAAAATCCTGCAATGGACAGGACACCCCTCCAAAGGGAAGAATTATCCAGCTTAACATGCCAGTGATGCTGAGGTTGAAAACCCTGCTCTACATATACTTTACCTGACACGACGTACCTGAACATGATCGGGGGAAGGACTGCTAGCCAGGTGGCTTCTGAAAACCCCACTACTTTAGTTATACTCAAACAGTCAGGGATAAAGCCAGGGCTCCAAAACTGCCCCAGTATTTATATGCTTTACTGTACAAACACATAAACTGAAAGACAGCTCGGAGCTCTAAGTCACTTCCTTACTTCATAAAGAACTCAAGGTCCAGGCATAAGGAACTTGCCTAGGCTCACGCATGCAGCACACTAGCAATAGAACCAGTGCAAGAATCTAGCTCTCCTGAAGGCAGTCCAGGACTCTTTCCACTGTGTTGTGCTAAATTCTGCAAGGATGTATCAAAGTATCAGTACACAAAACTGTCACTATCTGTCCAATAATATAAATATTTATACTTGGTATGCTGGGGTATATTTTACAACTTTATTAAGATTTATTTCATATATCCTAAGTTTCACCCACTTAAAGTACAATTGACTCTTGAATAACACAGGTATTAGGGGCACCAACCACTCCACTCTGCACAGTCAAAACCCCTTGTATCACTTTTAACTTCCCCAAGACTTAACTACTAGTAGCCTACTCTTGACCAGAAGCTTTAGTGTAACATGAACAGTAGATTAACACATTTTGTATGTTATACGTATTATATACTGCATTCTTAAAGTAAGCGAGAGAAAAGGAAATGTTATTAAGAAAATCATAAGGAAAAGAAAATCCATTTATAGCACTGTACCATATTTACTGAAAAATATCTGCACGTAAGTGGACCCGCGCGGTTTAAACCCATGTTGTTTGAGGGTCAACTAAACACTTCAGTGGCTTTCAGTATATTCACAGAATTGTGCAACCATCACCACAATCTAATTTTAAAACATTTTCAACATCCCAAAAAGAAACCCCAGACCCATTCATTAGCAGTCATTCCCCCCTTTTCTCATCTCCCCCAACCTCACCCCCCCTCCAACCAGGCAATCTCTAATCTACTTTCTGTCTCCAGAGATTTGCCTATTCTGGATATTGCATATAAATGGAATCATACAACATGTGGTCGTTGTGTCTGGGTTTTTTTCCCTTAGCAGAATGTCTTCAAGGTTCATCCATGTCATTGTATATATATATCAGTACCTCGCTAATTTTTTTTTATTGCCACATAGCATTCCATTCCTACATAGATATAACACATTTTGTATATCTATCAGTTGCTGGACTTTGGGTTGTTTCCACATTTTGCTATTATGAGTAATGCTGCTATGAACATTCATGGACAAGTTTATATGTGACCATATGTTTTCATTTCTCTTATGTATGTAATTAGGAGTGGAACTGCGGGGGTCACTATGTCAGAAATTTTTTAATATCTGATAATTGAATAGCTTTTGGAAGAGCATTATTTGAAATGTTAAAAAATTTTTCTTAAATGTGGGTATAAGAGTAAGAAAGTAAATAATGCATAGTCTATAAAGCAACAGTTGCAAATTCTCTAATGGGTGTCTCTAAATGGACCAGGCAATTTGAATTTTCAAAGACACACTAGTCAGTTATTTACTTATATCATCTCTCCAAATTCCCTAGAAGGAATGCTGCTGAATGAATAATTCTTTTCTCAGGGCTAGTTCCTTCAGACTGAAAAAGCAGCAATTATCCAGACTGAAGCTGAAAACAAATATGCCAGAGCATAGTACGAACAAAGATTAGTTATGTCCTCTGACTCATAAAGTAGAAAAGCAGGGAGCAGCCTGACGTCGTACACGGAGAAGCTGTCATTTTCATTTTGATGCCACAGATGGCGGAGGAACGATCACTATTCTGCCATTTCACTACTAGATTTGTCTCATGTTGTACAGATTGTTTTCTCCTCTGGTTCATCCTGCAAAACATGTACTTGCCTAAAAACTGATGATTATAGAATACAGATGCTCAGAAAAGGGCCCTCAGCTGCCAAGACGTAAAATCACCTCCGGAAGGGCATGCAGAGGCCAATTCAGAACCTGGGCTTTCCTTCCGTGAACATGCAAGAGTTGGAAGAGACAGCTATGCAACTGATGAGCAGTTTCTGACCAGGTTTCTAGCATGCAGATGACACACACTGCTCAATCCACGGCAAAGGGACACGTAGTGCCAAATTTCAGAAGGACTTTTCTCTTATGGTACCGACAGCCAGTGTTCTGGCCTAGGACTCCATGTGTCGGTACCTGCTATTTTCTCCACCGACAAAGCCCTTTCCTGTCCCCACCTGACAAACTCTTACTCCCGGGCCCCTCCCAAGTCTCTTTCAAACATCCCCTCCCCTGCGAACATGCCTCACACTCTCCATCCTCAGTGCTCTTGGGAACTCAGAACATAGTGTCACTAGCCTTTGTTTCCAGGTATTACAACCATTGACTATGCTCCTTTTTGAGTCTAACTGTATTTGGAAGGCAGTTTCCATTAGTCTTTGTCATCCAGAACAGTGCCTGGCCCATTTTTTGAGTAAGTGCTCCCAGCTCTTTGTGGTTAAATGGGGTGAGGGAATCTCTGTTTAAATGGTCTTCAACTCCACAAAGGATAAGAAATGCTTGAAACTAACAGAACAAACTTAAATTAAATGCGAACGAAGGCCCAATTAAGACTAGACAGTACCCAAGAAACCAATCCCTATGTGAAAGATCTGAGTTATCCCCCATTTGGTGACTAGCACAGCCAGTCAGAAATGTGGTCTTAAGCACAAGCCACTTTTCTACTTTCAGTTCTGTGGTCAAGCTACTTGATAAATAAAAGACATCCCAGAACTCTTTTTTTTTTTTTTTTTTGCATCTTTTCAAAGATATTCTGCATTAAAATACCTTTGCACATCCTTGTTTCTATGGAAGCTCTTGAAGAATGAGCTGATTTGCCTTGGGGGGAAATCATCACTTCTTAGATAATATTGTCCTTGTGAATTTCCCAAAACTTTTAGGAGCTAACAAAAATTAGAAGCTAGATGACTTAATCTGGCAGGCAGCATACAGGATTTAAACCAACAGAAAATAAAATCTTACCTAGTTGAGAAATGAAATTTTAGTTTGGGTCCAGGAACTGACCCAAAAAACCCCTTAGACTTCAGGACGATTGGCAGAAAAAGAAAACTAAGTGAGAAAACACTGCTACCAAGTGTCATTCACTATTGCCCATAGTAAGCCTCTTCCATTAAAATTTCAAGCCACATACACTAGAATTTACTTCATGACTAAACACAAAATGCCAGAAATAGCACATGAAAGGTCACTTTTCTTTACAAGTCTTTTCCAGGTGCTATCTGGTATTCTGGGAAGAGTTTTGCCTTTCGTTATTTTCCACATATTCAAGAAATTCATTCTTTTCACTGTTATTTTAGAAGTGCCATACCACTTTTCTCATCCTTTACCAACTGCTATCTTCTGCTTCCTAAGTGATTTTCCCTCACTCTTCCTCCTGAGGAACCCATCTGTTCTTACAAGGCTCTTCCTAACTCCCATTACTTTCTTCACAGGTCTAAATACATCAAAATAAGTTAAATGATTTTGTGTTACCAATAAATATTCTTTATTATTTGTATTTAGGAATAGGACATTATTTAGGAATAGGAAAAACAGGAGTAGGAATACACTTATAGTAATAATAAATAATAAAAGTGTCCATAGCGTGGGATTCATCTTGTGGTTCTGCTGTACTTAGGATCGATTGTACAGTGTTCAGAATGGATCATTTAGATGACCACAATCTGGATCAACTGGGTCGTGGACTCTCTATTAGGATGAATGCAATCAGTCTTTTCTAGTCACAGTATAACTGGTTACATATATAAGATCACTGATAGCCAATTTAAAGCTTGTTCTTTAGAAGGCTTAGTTCTGGCCCTCACTGCATTTTGAAATTATAGTTCCGAAACAGTATTGCTAAAGCAGGTTGATAAATAGCTACATTTACTGCAATATCGCATTTGAATAGATAGATGCTGTGACAGGTCATTTCTCACTGCAGGCTGTAAGGAAAGAATTTCCGTACTGGGCACATTCAAGATCAAGTCCTCCTGTTGGCAGCCAGGCAGAGTGAGCCATTCCTTTATAGGTAAATCCAGTTAGAGGGAACACCAAGGGCAGCATTTAAAGCAGGGATAACAGACAGTAAGTACCTGTGTTTCCACTTGCCTGCCCACTCCCACCCCTTTATTCATAGCAGAAGCTGCCCAACAGTCCTGGCATTTTTTTTTTCCTCCTAAGCCTGAACAAAACATCAGATTCCTTTTCTATACTTCCTCAGACAGCTACTATCAATTAGCTGGATTTGCTTCATTATCGCTGATTTAAGAGGAAATGATGTATAAGTATCATGTGGGACATTTTTTTAAAGTACCTCCTCCTTTAATTCAGCCATTTGTTACTGAGGCAGACAGTGAGCTCCTCTCTACCCTCGAAGCGCCCAGGTTATGCTACATAAAACTATGCTAGATAAAAGTTCGCTTTAGCCTTGCATCTTTCTCCTGGAATTGCCAATTCATTGTAGCTATGATGAAGATAATGATGATGATGTTTGGAGATGACCAATTCCATGGACATGTATTGGACAGGAGTAGGAATGGCCTTATTTCTAAGAGGAACATCCACGACTTGTAAGGATCCAAGGAGTCAATGCATCCTAAGAAGAAAGCCTAGAAATAGAAAAGCATTTTTAGCTCAGTACAGTGCCATGCAAAATTAGTTCCAGAAATGGGTCAAAAAGAAACCAAGTACATCTGCAAATATATTGCTTTTACCATTCTAGCATAATAGAGCTTTTCATTTGAACTTCTGTTTCAGTCACAGGAAAACGGAGAGAAGGCAAGATTGTTAGGCAACGGATCTCTGGAATATTCTATGGAAACTTCTCTCTTTTAGAAAACAGTGGTGTTCAGCAATAAACTCACATTCCAAAATCGCTAAGAGAAAGAGATTTCATACATATGAATTATAATTTATAAATAGTTTCAGATATCAAACCTAACATCAAAGCAATCCTGGCTCATACAAGCTTTCTAACTTTATTAGAGGAAGGTCCGAATCCCCATGGTAAATATCCATCAGTCAACAAACACTTACAGGTACTTACCCCGTGTCCAGCACTGTCAGGCACTAGGGATGGTAATGCAAAGAGCACCCAGTTCCTGCCCTCACAGAGCTCAGCAATAGTAATGAAAACTGTCAGACCTCTGCCATCTGTGTGTTATATAATATCTCAAATCAGTAAGGTTTCAAATCTTTAGAGACAAGGAAATTAAAATATATCCACCCCATTTGAGAGATGGGATAGCGGAGACTGAGAATATGAAACGATTTTCCCTGAGCCACAGAAAGAGTGGTAGGTCACACCAAACTCCACACTTGTGCCACTTCGTATTTTCAGTGTCTTGTGTAGTCTCTTATCTTCAGCTTTGTTCTAGTCTACAAGAATATTTCAACTTTATGGGTATTGGCTTTATTCCGTAAGCTGAATTATTTTGATGGGTTAGACTAAGGGAGGCCTTACAGTATTTTCGAACAGACCCTGGCTCAAGTAGGAACTTTTATTTCCAAGGAAACAAGAGTACCTCTAGAGGAAATAATTCTTCTCAGATAAAAATATTGGTACAACACTCATGTGCACAGCAGCATTGTTCACAAGAGTCAAAAGGCAGAAGCAATCCAATATCCATTAACAGAAAAATGGCTAAACAAAATGTGATTTATACATGAAATACTATTTAGCCTTTAAAAGGAAGGAGATTCTATCACATGCTACACCATGGATGAACCTTGAGGATATTATGCTAAGTGAAATAAACCAGTCACAAAAAGACCTTATAGGAGATATCTAGAGGAGTCAGATTCATAGAGACCAAAAAGTAGAATGGTAGTTACAAGGGACTGGGGGAAGGGGGAAATGGGGAGTTGGTTAATGAACATAGCATTTCAGTTCTGCAAAATGAAAAAGTTCTGGGGAATGGTTGCTCAACAATGTAAATATTCTTCTTCTTCTTTTTTTTTTTTAGATTTTATTTATTTATTTGTCAGAGAGAGAGAGAGAGCACAAGCAGGGGAAGCAGCAGGCAGAGGGAGAAGCAGGCTCCCCGATGAGCAAGGAGCCCAATGTGGGACTCGATCCCAGGACCCTGGATCATGACCTGAGCCGAAGGCAGACGCTTAACCGACTGAGCCACCCAGGCATCCCAACAATGTAAATATTCTTAATACTACTAAACTATACACTTAAAAATGGTTAAGATAGCAAATATTATGTTATGTGTTCTTTACCACAATTTTTAAAAAACAAACAAAGGGCGCCTGGGTGGCTCAGTTGGTTAAGCGACTGCCTTCGGCTCAGGTCATGATCCTGGAGTCCCTGGATCGAGTCCCGCATCGGGCTCCCTGCTCAGCAGGGAGTCTGCTTCTCCCTCTGACCCTCACCCCTCTCATGCTCTCTCTCTCATTCTCTCTCTCAAATGAATAAATAAAAACAAACAAAAAAGCCCATATTGGTACTTACCTCATTATGGTAAAGTTTTAACTTCTTAAAACTTTTCTTTATGGCTTCTGTAATTGATAGGAACAGGATCTCTTGGTGCTATTAGGGGAAATCAAAGATTCTTCTGTGATGTTTTTGTCAATCATCAGAAAATTTTTAAAAATGCTTTTAATGCCATTGCCTATAGGCTTCAGATTATTTTTAGAAATTAAAATGAGCTATTCTGTGTTCTAAAAATTGCATTTAGGCAGAGAGATAGATAACATCTTCCTGTGAGGTTGGAGCTAACCCTGCTATATTTGTGTTTTCACCTTTGGGAAATATGCAGAAGCAGAATAAACTCATATCATCCCCCTATCTAATGTGTTTATACATTTGAAACCTATACGCTATAGATATGTGCCATGGAGCAAAACCTTGGAACGCATTAGCAATTTACACTTATATTCGATTTCTAGATTTTTAAGAATCTGTAGTTTTATCCACCATCATCACAGCTTCTTTATCCAGTCGAGGTTCACGGGGCATTCAATTTGAAGCATCTAAAAAACCATGGGGTCTAAAATAGGGCTGCAGCTAAATGCCAGGGTTGATTACTGAGGAATGACAGATGGCATCCTTCCTATTCCTTACTGACTACTGCCTGAAAGGAGCTGGAACCCTGACTGGAGATAAGCATCTGCCCCTTCATTCTCTCTGCATTCATTTCTCACAGTCCTCAAGCACATATCTGAGAAGCCGGTTTTTTCCTGTCGTATAGTCTGCCTAGTTAATCTAATGCAATTAATTAGTAGAAGATGATCTAAACAAATATTTCAAAGTTCAGGGTAGAAATCCATTTATTAATTTTAAAATGTTCATTACTATATCTATTTTATAATCTTAAAAACCCCATTTAATCTTTTAAGACATGAAGGAATTAAGAGTTATGATTGGAATCTTTCAAAATCCTGCATCTGTAATGACCACCTGAATTGAGCAGAAGAATCATTTTTGATTTTCCAAAATAATGTTCTTTCATTAAACAAGTTATTGAAGGGGCAACAGGATGGCTGAGACAAAAGGCTTGGTATGTATCACAAGGCTCACTGAGTGACAGTTGTCTCCCTTTGATACACCAAGGGCATACCTTGTGCACATCTTAAACATCACACAATTCTAAAATCCTGTCACCCTCTCTCCTCACATCAACTTCATCCCATAAAATTCTTCCAGGGAAAGAACCTGGACTTAACTGGCTTTATAATTATTTTCTTCCTCCCACCCTGTGCCCGGCACAGAGCCTAGCAGATAGTAGACACTCATTAAATGACCGCTGAATGAAAGAAACTAACTTTAACTTTGATATGACAATATATATTGGTCAACATATATGGAAGAAACATTATTTCAGAATGACAAAAGAAGTGAGATGCAAACATTTTCCACTCACAGAACTTTTCCTCATTTAACTAGTGTCCAATTTCTATTTCCAATAAAATGCCTTTAGTATTGAAGTTAGGCTGCAATTTGGGAGTCCCAGGAAACCAATATAACTGAAATTAAACTTCAATTTCTCCAACTTATTTCAAAAGTATTTGAAAGGAGTAATGGGGTAATGCAGATTTCTCCATAAACCAGCTGAGCAATTTCTCGTTCACAGCAATATAGGATAAAATGCAGAATTCATTTTCAAAAATGGAATGCAAAAATACAGGCTCAAATTGCAGTTGACCTTGATGAATTAAGAGAATACGGGAAATCAGTTACTGAAATTTGGTTATTTCTATATATCTCCCCCCCACTTCCCAGTTACATCATATTGAAATAAAGCCGTTTTGGAGAAAAACCCAATTACCATGGAAATATTTATCTTTAACCTAGTTTGCAACCACTTAATATTTCCCCAGCAGTGCAGTAGAGTAAAATTGAAAGTCTATGGCTCATATAAAAGCTTCCTAAAAAATATAAGTAAATTCTACTAATTGAAAATATTTCTGTGTTTAAGTTAAAATAATGAAACATAGGCCAAGAAAGGCAAAGAGAAAATACTCTTTACAGAACTTAATTTCTGGAATCTAGCTGTTTTACACAGCAGTTTTAATTAACATGAACAATGAAAAAAATACATTTTCAAAAATAAAGACAACAAATCACTACCCCACTCACGCACAAAGTTCCAAGAACGAGAGCAAAACATGCATACATCCTCACTGCAAAAATTTTTTAACACGAGAGCATTTGCTATTTCCTTACCTCGAGTGCAGAAGATTGCAGTGGGGCCAGCCGACTTATTTGCTTGCAGCCTGGTTCTCATAAAACGGAAGGGGCGTCTCGCTTGCTCATTTTTTGTTGTTGTTGTTTGTTTGTTTGTTTGTTTCTAAACCCAGCAGCGTGCATCTACCCTGCCTCATTCGCTGAATGATAACCTGGAAAAAACACCGCCCGCAAAGTGAGCGCCTGAAGCAGGGACAGTCCCCGGGTGGCCGCCCCTCCTTCCCGGTGACGCTCCACTTCCTGTTAGACTAAAAGGCAGCTCCCAAGAAGCTCGGTTTTGTAGTTTCCAGCCCACTTCCAAAAGCCAATCCTCCTTTTCCCCCATTTCTTCCCCAGAGTAACAACTTTTAATCATTCACGTGATGGACCACCTGACCTTATCCAAACAATTTTCCGGAAAGGCGCCCGCAGGAACGTTCCAACGACTGTGGGTGCCCAGGACAAGCCCGAGAGCTCCTCTCTCTGCGCCCCGCGCGTCTTCGCCCTCCACCGACCAGTCAGCTCCTCCAGCACCTCCCTCAAATGCGCAGGGAGGTTCTGACAAGAATTACAGCCGCGGCTGCGGCCCCCGGGATGACCTGGAAGTGAAGGGGACCTGCACGAACTCGAGAGTTTTGGGGGCTTCGGCGGGTTGAGATTGTCCGGGAAGCAGTGCCTTACCCAAACCTCATTTCCAACATGGTCTCGTAGGGGGTTCCTTTAAAGGGCTTCTTCTGGATTCATTTAACGTTCTTTCGAAAGGCATGTGTTGACTGCATCACACTTGGCAGTACGGAAGGCCAGGCGCTGTTCTCCGGGACTGGATTACTAGGATTTGGGTGACCACCGAGTTCACCCAGCAAAACTATCACTTGCGCTTCCCGCGGACTGGCGGCTACAGAACACGTTGCCGCCTGGATTCTAAAGCATTGCCATCCCCAACACCGGGATTTAATGCTAATAGGGGGAAATGGCGAAAGGGCAGGCGCTGGACCCCAGCGCATCCGGGAACATCAGTGGTAGGCGGTCTGGGTGGGCGAGAGCGGGCCCTCAACCTCCCAGACATCCCAGTCTGTGGGCCGTCACTTCAGGATTTTCTTCGTGCCTACATCCCAGGCCGGCGCATTAACTACCCAGCAGTTGCCACTTTTTTCTGCCCCCTACTGCCTTCCCCGCAGGTCCCACCTCGCTCCCGCCGTAAGCCCCGCCCTCCGCCGCGCAAGCCCCGCCCCCGGGCCCACCTCCCCCTTTCGCGTCCCAGGACGCGTTGCGCGGCCCGGGCCGGAAGTCGGCGAGTTCCCGGGTGTGTGTCTGTGTCTGTCTGTGTCTCGAAGCGGCGCGCGGCCCGGGACAAACGCTGGGGAATCCCATCTGAGGCGTCACCACTGTCACTACCATCACCCACGGAGCCACTTCTAGAGGGGAGTAGACCCGGCGCTTCGCCGGGCAGAGAAGATGTTGCCCCTGTCCATCAAGGACGATGAATACAAACCACCCAAGTTCAATCTGTTCGGCAAGATTTCGGGCTGGTTTAGGTGCGGGTGCTATTTTTGCGGGAAGGGGGTATCCGGCCGAAGGGGAGAAGGCCCAGACCTAAGGATAGCCCGAGGTACAGGGAGGGAGCGTCAGGGACACCTTCCTTCCCTGTGAGGAAAGGAGGTTTGGACTGGGAGGGTCTTGAAAGGGGACCCAACCTCCGGGTCCTGGCACCCCTTTGACTCCCGCCTCTTCTCCACTTTTATCACTCCCCCAGGTCTATCCTGTCGGACAAGACGTCCCGGAACCTGTTTTTCTTCCTGTGCCTGAACCTCTCTTTCGCTTTTGTTGAATTACTCTACGGCATCTGGAGCAACTGGTAACCAAAGGGGGAAAGGCAGGGCGGAAGCAGGGCGTGGGGGAGACGAAGCACTGTTTGCTTAGTGCCACGTAGCTCCTCACCAGGAGGTTCAGGTCTTGCCTTTGCCATTCAGCTCTGCTGCTGAGTTGCTTTCTCAGTTCCACACCAATCTGGCAAGGCTACATTGAAGATCCGGGCCCCATCGTGTGCGGCAGCATTAAGGTTTGGGTCCCGCCTTCCCACCCCTCCCGTCAAACAAGAGTGACAGGTCTCTTTCATTTTGTCTGATAGTCATCCTTGACTACAAACCTTCGCTTTGCTCACTTTCTTGGAATTGGGAGAAACCTGTTTCCTGCCTCTTTGGGGTGGGAGTGTTCCTTGCTTCTCTTGTGGGGGAGTGGCATTTGGATTTCACCCTTAAGATTCCGAGAGGGAATATCTGAGATGTTCAACTTAATTTATTAGGTCTTGGAATGGGAAAGAGCTTTATAAAGGGGATATCCGGAGAAATATGTGTCATTCTCTTCTCTTGAATTTTATGCTGCAACTGTCGGATGATTTTCCTCTGATCTTGACTGCAGTAGAAAATCCCATATAGTTTTCTACAAACTTTTATCTCTTGAGTTGATGGGTTTCTGTGCCATCTTTGGGTTTGTTTGGTTGGTTTTGAAACTGCTTTGCGAAGAGGTAAATTCAGGGACTCTGGAAATGAAGTACTATTATCTGGGTATTTGCTGTTGAATAACTTAGGGGCTTGTAAAATTCTTCAGCTAACAATAAGATCATTACACTTCTAAGTGTGTTGAATGCTCTTTAAATCTCACACTCATTTGAGAATCTGATAAAAACCAACACTCAAAATTTTATATAAAACTTCATTCAGGGTGATACTGTGTTCCTTGAAATACATCTTGAACCCCAGCTTAAGAACCTATGCCATTTATAGTTTATTTTCTATTATTTAGAGTTAGTCTCTTTCCTTTATAGTCCATTTTCAGAGAGAATTGCTGTCCTTGATCTTTATCTCTGTTGAGATTGAAAAATGACATTAAATAAGATCACCATTTTTTGTGACATTTACATTTTTATGTGAAAAAGTGGACTTCTTTTCAGTTCAGATGTCAACTCAATTTTATAAAAAATAGGTTATTGATTTAGTCACCCCTTTAAAAGGCATATTGAAACATAATAAAATTTTAGTATATATAATAACCATTTTGAATCCTCCGGGAAGTAGATATACGTATCCCATAATAGGACTATCCTTCAATGTATTTTGTATATTAAAAGCATTATGTTGTATTGTAATAATCATGCTTTATTATAAATATACAGTATTTATAATATATTTTGCTCTTCTTAAATTATGCCATATTGTGGCATATGTACTTGACTGTATCAAGACTATAACTTGGTTTGCATATGTACACTTTAGCTACAGTTACTTTATATTACAATACACTATCTTTCAATATGGCCTTCCATTGCATAAATTACTATGTGAAATGTCTCGTTCAAGGGAATTATATTTGAAGTGCCTAGACCACTTCTTTCATGGAAAGTTAGGTATAAAGTAAATTTTTTGACCTGTAGAGATCTATTGAGGAAATTACAGTTGACCTTTGAACAACATGGGGATTAGGAGCATGAACCCTGTGCAGTCAAAAATCTGTGTATTACTTTTGACTCCCCCAAAAACTTAACTTCAGATAGCCTACTATGGGCCATAAGCCTAAGCGATAACATGAACAGTTGATTAACACATATTTTGTATGTCATATGTACTATACACTGTATTCTTACAATAAAGTAAGCTAAAGAAAAGGAAATGTTATTAAGAAAATCATAAGGAAGGGGGCGCCTGGGTGGCTCAGTCGTTAAGCGTCTGCCTTCAGCTCAGGTCATGATCTCAGGGTCCTGGGATCGAGCCCCGCATCGGGCTTCCTGCTCGGCGGGAAGCCTGCTTCTCCCTCTCCCACTCCCCCTGCTGGTGTTCCCTCTCTCGCTGTGTCTCTCTCTGTCAAATAAATAAATAAAATCTTAAAAAAAAAAAAAAAAGAAAATCATAAGGAAGAAAATACATTTATGGTACCTTAGTGTATTGAAAAATATCTGCATATAAGTGGACTCATGCAGTTCAAGCCTGTGTTGTGCAAGGGTCAACTGTACTAAAACCACTGTTTTCCAAACCATTTGTCAGTATGCACAGTACATAAGGAAAACATCAGTGGTACATGACTTTTTCTTCTGCCCTTTGGTGGCTTGTTCTCCTGACTTTAGGATCTCTTTTCCTCCAGTTTACTCTCTTTGATTGTGTTATTATATCTTCCACATTTGAAATCCAGCTGTGAACTAATGTCTGTCATACCTAAATCATTTAGTAGGTATTCATCAGCAGGTTAACCTCCATATCCACAACCACTTATTCCCTAATATTAATTTTTATCAGAGGATTGGGAGTACAAACACATTGCTTTTGAAGCCTTGGCATATTTAAAAATTGCTTGGGCCTTTTCATAATCTGGGTTTCTATGTCTTATTTAGATATTACAGTTTTTAGTCCCTTTTGTTGAGTGATCAACAATTTCTTTATATGACTGGATTATCTCTGTTCCTAAAGTTTAAATTAGATTTTAAGTTCCTTGAAAAAATGCCTTACCAAAATTTATTTTGTTTATCATATTCATTTCTGTGTTCATTTTCATTCTATAAAAATTAAGTTTCAAGATGTTATGAATATTGAAATGTCAAGAATTTTTTTCCATTATGAAATTAAAAGATGGATAAAACATGCTCTCTCTTCACAAATAAAGGTTTATAGAAACAGTTGATCTAGTTGCAAAGAATATTAAATAGTTCTGCTCCTTGTTTAGAGCCTTCATTATCTAAAGGAAGAACTTAGGCTCATTTGGTTAGGCGGTTCATTCGGTTAGGCGTCTGCCTTCGGCTCAGGTCCTGGTCTCAGGGTCCTGGGATCGAGCTCCAAGTCAGGCTCCCTGCTCAGTGGGGAGTCTGCTTGTTTCTCTCCATGTGTTTGTGCTCTCTCTCAAATAAATAAATAAAATCTTTAAAAAAAATAAAGGAAGAACTTAGTTATAATTAGTTTATATTTTTGATGGTGAGAATGTGTCATCAGTGGAAGAATAGCTAAGCTTCTGTGTATTTTTCCATCATATTAAATATCCACTGCTTTTCACTTTTCCACTAGAATGTAAACTTCATTAAAATAGGGATCTTTTCTGTCTTATTCAGGCACCTTAGTACATGGCACATAGTGTGCTTAATACATATTTGCTGAATGAAGAATGAGGGAATAATGAATGTATGGAATTAATCTACCTACACTAAACATACTAACTACCCCTATTAGAGGGGAGGAAAATCATTAAACCCCTCTTTTCTCTTATTCTTTGAAGTTAGTAGGAAAATGGTAGGAATACCATATGTGATCTTTCCTTCTAGGGTTCTTTTTCCTTCTAGCATTTTATTTTCATTGCTATTTATTGTTGAATAACTACTTAATC